CCCCCCCCCCCCCCCCCCCACACACACACACATGCACAGAGCCACACACGCTCCCGGTGAAAAAGCACGCTCCACAGATTCCCATCTTTTTCGTCAGTAGAAAGGGACAAACCCATAGTGCTCCAAGAAAGAGTGGCAAGTGTGGGCTGAGGTTTAAAGTTTGTTGCTGCTTCATGCTGAGACCTCCTGAATTTGGAATCATCGCACACAGTTTCACAACCGGCGCGCAGCATTCATATGCATCCACAGAGTTCAGTCCGTTCACATTACGATGATGGTTCAAAGCAGGTCACCTGAATCGGAAAAAAAAAAACAAAAAAAAAAAACACATGACTGCGCAAAGAATCACTGGGAGAATATCAATGTCAAGTCATGTCTGACAAAATGCTGGTCCTACATGAAACAGCATCAATTCAAGCTTTACATCATCACCTTTAATTCAAAGCATTTTGCTAGGAAGTCGAGATACATACCATACACGTACATAACGTCCAACGGAACTTCCTGGTAAACCATAAGCAGAGAGGGAGAAGAGGACAGAGAGAGAGAAGAGGACAACGAGCGAGGGGCTGTCACAGATAGTTCCATCGGATTTTCACCGACTCATCAGGAGGCTGTATTGCACAGCTATTTAGAATGCTAGATAGATATTGCACCGTCCTTTGCACATCAATATACTGTCTTGAAAAGGAAGACAGAAAAGTATTTTGAGGAGGAGATGAAGAAGGCTGGACTCTTTTCTCGTGATCGTCAAGAACCAGTTGTTAAGTCCCACGAGAGCCGGGCTGGCCAACGGGCTTGACGCTTGGGTTGCTAGCTTGCTTCCTTCATACTGAAAAGCGAACACATGCTCAAGGAAAACGAGCGATAGCGAAATGACAGAAATCCAGAATGCAAAACCGCATTGAAAGCCAGAAAGTCCAACGCTGTCCAGAAAGCAGAAATGCGCTGATACTACACCAACAGAGAACCAAATCACCGAATCCGAAAGTCAATGAGAGCATACTCTCACGACCACCAACATATGTACCCAGAGCCCTTCCTCCTACATGGGGCTCAGCGCCCAGACTGCAATCACACAGCTACTACCAGCCTACGAATTCACAATGCAACCTGTTGATGTCAGCAGCAACAACCGAAGTACATGAAGATGTTGACCCTGTGGACCATCGCCAAGACCAGGTAAGTGCCCTCACATCATCATCCTCATCTCTCTTTCTCTCTTCCTCGTCTTCTCTACCCACATCTTCTCCCCATACACGAAGACCACCACCACCACTGCTGGCTGTCCAAGCCAAGCCGTGGCTATGTAGGGCTGGCTATGGCGCTGCCCTCAGCAGCGCCCTGCCTTCTACCAGCGCCCGCGCGCACTGCCTGGCATCTAGCGCTAGCGCACAGCGCACAGCCTGCGAGTGCACGCTGCAGCAGCGCTGCCAAATGTACAGCCTAGTGCCCGAATATCCCCACCAGTGGCGAGCTCTTTCCTTTCCGGAAAGTGCTCGCCCAGTTTACTGTCTGACTGGGCCTCGTGTGTTTCCAGTAGCTTCCGATTGGGCCAAAGTGTCTGTGCCCAGGCCCATTCAGACAGTAGCCTGGGACCGAAAAGTGGTCAGGCCTGCCCAACCACCCAGGAGTAAACGTGAGGTTCTCCCTGCTTCGCCTGTGCTGCTGGAAGAGCCTAGAAGGCTCACAAATCATTTCGGATTCTCACAAATATGGAGGATGTAACCAACTGGCACATGGCAACTGTCTGGCGCCCACCAAACATTGCCAAAATTAACTAACTCAGGCCATATTGAAATTCAGGGGCCCGCCTTCACTTAGGGCGGGCTCATGCTTGCTGAAACGGCCCTACAGGGGCCTGCTGAGGAGCTAACTCGTAACATGGCCTCGTCGAAGATCCATGCCCATATGCGGTTTCCAACAGGGTCTGCTTGGGCCCCTCAGCCTTGTCTCATATCCTTATAAACAGGCATTGGCAAAAAATTGCAAGCCCGCCTTCACTTGGGTCGGGCACAGCACTTTCAGACACTGCCAACAGTCTAAATCCTCACACATGTTTAACCTGAGCTAAACCATCTTAAAACGATCACTTGTACCTTTACATCGTTATAAGCAACAACTTCTCACAATACCAAAAGAACAAATTTGATGCATTGAGCCTCACTGCTCGTCACCTTGACCACACACACAAAATGAGAGATCACACGAAGTCCACACTGGAGACCAGACATGCAAAGTCCAGATAAGCGCTGCTTAGGATTTCCAACAAATTATCATATAAGCACTTACAGAGTTCCAGTCACCAGCACTCATCAGAGGAGAGTTCAGCCAACCTCATCCAAGGTAGGTGACTTTCTTCTCTCTGTGTCCCCCTCTCTCTCTCTCTCTTTGTCTTCTTCATGGATGCGCTCACTCTCTTGCGCTCACTATCTCCCTCTACTCTCTCTCCCTCTCTCTCTCTACTTTAGGATCTTGACTCTGAATACATCCGCTATCTCCTGGCTTTATCTCCTACCTCTCGCTATGCGGCTATGGCCACCTCCCTTCCTTAACGCAGAGCTGCCCAGCAGGGCTTTCGCGCATGCTATTCGCAGATAGCGCACAAGCGCTTCAGCAGCACTTCCACACTTCTCACGAATGAGCAGTCTCCCTGAAATGCGGCTGGCCAGTCCTTATGTCGACTTGGACAGAGCCTGAACTCGTCCCAGTCTCTGCTTCCTTGGATTGACCTGGCCTCGGTACCACATTCCCATGGCCTGCTTATTTCAGAATATCAAGGCCTGGTACTTTCTCGAATTTTCATTGGCTGCTTGGGTCTGTGAGTCATGACTTTTCACCTGTGGAACATGACTTTTGACTGTGGGATGTGACTCTTGCCTCTGGGACACAACTTTTGCCTGGAGAACCGTCCTTTGCCTGTGGAATATGACCTGTCAATATGCGACGTGACTTTTGCTTATAGAATGCCACTTTTGCCTTTGGGATGTGACTGTTTGACGGGTGCCTGTTGGACTTGACTGCTGACGCACCCGGCTGTGCGCTTTCTTAACTCGCCAACTTGGCTTCTCTTGGCCTGCGCCTTTGACCCTGGAATTCAAATTTGGGGTCTGCATCGTGGAATGCCTTTCACTCTCGCCGGCCTAATTTCGAGGTCCTTTGAGAAAGTTACAATCTTTATCTATCAACTATGTCGATTCCTCTACTAGCTCTCTCATAGCAAGACACTATGTGCGGTGCTGTCTCAGCCAGCTCATCTCTAGCAAACCAGCGATCTTCCGAAGGCCCTTGATAAGCAAATCTAACTTAATATTGTCGCTGGGGTCTACCCCTGAGCACCGGTCTATAAACATCCTCTGCAACGATGTGGTCCACGCCATATTTGCCATCCATTTCTGGAGGAATCATAGATCAATGAGACGGAAACAACTCGTTGAGCCTCACTGCTCCTCACCTTGAGCACACACACACAATGAGAGATCACACGAAGTCCACACCGGAGACCATTGATGCAAAGTCCAGATAAGTGCAGCTTAGGAATTCAAGTGTGGACTTCGTGTGATCTCTTATAGTGTGCATGTGCTCAATGCAATTGGTATCAGAGCCAATACTCGCTGCATCCGCTGGTGATGAACGCTGGCAAGATTAAGGCCGGAGAGAGGAGGTTGGGAGTTTGACATAGGGCTGCTGGCTGAGGAAGTGGCCAGATTGGGGGATGGTGATTATGTACATGCAGGCGAGGAGCGTCGAAGAGCTTCATCGAGCGAACGTTCACAAGGGAAGTGCATCACCTCCCTAAGCCTTGCATTTGCTTTGATGAATGCACGAGTGTCAAGGTACCTTCCCACATCTTGGTGTCGCTGTTGTTGGACAAAAACACTCGATGACGTACCTGAATTTTGTTTGAGTCAGCATCTGGTCAGACACATGTGCATGAAGTAGGTTGTGTCTATCACCCGAAAAGTAGGAAACATGGGCATGCGCGGTGAGCGCTCGTAAAACAACTCGTCTAGCCCTAAGACCAGTACTGACCGGCATGCGACCAAACCGGTGCTGACGCAGTAAGGAGCTGTAAGTCTTGAGAGCGAGCCTTCAAATCCTGGTGGGCACAACGTCCTGTCTGCATCGTTAAATAATTCTTGAGGTCCTTGTTGGTTGACCTTAAGCTGTTGGCTGCCCACCAGCCTGACAGGGTAGCTGTAGTGACACCGTGGGGAGCGAAGAACTCAGATAGGTTTGATCCAATCCAAGTGGTGAGGGTGAGGTCTACATGGTGAGGAGGTGGAACCTACTTACCTGTGCCTTAGCAACCATGAATGACTACCCGATGTTCGCAATGTTGACTCTGTCTGTGTTATGGGGTCCCCTTCTTCGATTTCTGTTTGGGATTCCATCGTACATGCGGCATGAGTGTGACCATGAGGTTTGGTGGGACCACACAGCCATATACAACAGAATAACAAGTTGATAATGACAGAAAGTTGGCTGAGAAGAAGAAAGAGAAAGAAAAAAGGAAGAAAAAAAAAAAGGGGGAAGTTAAAAAGAATTGGAGGAGGAAAAATAACAAAGAGAGAAAGAGATGCAGAAGAAAGAAAAAGCGTTGAAGGAGTTAAAGTTGAAGAAAAAGAGGGAGGAGGAGGAGGAGGAGGATTGGTGAGAAGTAAAGTCCAACCAGAAGGAGAGGAGGTGGCGGAGAGCAGTCATGCTGCAAAGTTGAGACTCCATCAGGTTGAGGACTTGGACTGGGTGGGGAAATTTGGGTGTCGGACAGAGCTTCCGGAAGAAACTGATTAAGAGAGAGATTGATTTGTGACGAAGTTGGCAGCAACTAAGAATCATGAGGAAAAGAATTTGTTGATCGAGGAGAAGACGAGTGAACTCAACCAAAAGTTATTATCCACGAAAAGAAAAAATTTTGATGAGAAGAAAAGGTTGCAGAAGGGGCGAGACTCTAGGAATTGTTGGAGTAGAAATTGAAACACGTGGAAACTAAGAAACGCTAGAACCTTCTTACGGACACTTTACTGCATACCAGCCAGGAACTCTCTGCACTTCAGCGAGTCGTTAGGAAGATTGAACGACACCAAAAGGAGTTCGAGGGAACCTGGAACAACTTCCTTAGTGCGTCATCCAGCCAAGTGGACCATAGGGTCCTACAATATGCACGACAACTAGAAGATATCTTCACTCAAAAATTGACTAGCACCACCGCTGCAATTAAGATAGGTGGCGATGGGGGGGAGGGGGGGTGGAGATGGTGTCGATGATAGGGATGATGACAAGAAAGGGAAAGGTCCCATAAATGATGGAGAAAAGAAAGGTGAGGAAGGCATGTTTGAGGGAGGAAAACGAAGTGAGAAGATGAAGGTAAACCTTCCTTGGACATATACTCGAAAGGAGAACATTTTCCATTGGGAGGTGGCGATGGACATGTACCTATACGCGCAGTCGATTTCGTATTGGGACCGCGTACTGAAGACAAGTTCGTGCGTGGGGGTAAACGCAACAAGGTTCGCTATCTGGTTGCGGAAAGAGACCGGATGCACCTTGATGGTGTAATACTCACAACGCACTAGGATTGAGGACTTCTTCAAGGCCTTAAAAAAACTGCTTCGAGAATAAGAACTTTGCTCGTCATACTGAGTCCCTCATCCTTAACATTGAGGATTGCAAGTGGAAGAGTGCGTCGACAATCAAAGCCATTATGGATGAGCTGCTGCACTGTCCGAAACATGGATTAACCCCCGTTAGGACTTTCAATAACTTCGCTAGAGCGTTGCCTGAACCACTTGTTTAACCACCAGTACCTCCGAGCCTGTTTTTGTCGACCCTGATTTTCACTGCGCTCCGAGTTTTGCCGAGCCTGGGTCCCACTCCATTTTTTTATGGTACTCTCACGAAAAGAACAACAAAAAAAAAAAAACAAGAAAAGTTGCGGCCGTGAAAACTCACAAAACAAGAAAACGAAACAAAGCTCTGGGCGTGATTGCAATTGTATACATTCTTGGAAGTGTTAGTGTGAGTGTGCCCTCAGTGAGGGCATCTCAACCCCGTGGCCAGGTTGTCAGATTCCAAAAACTCAAAAAAAAAAAAAAAGACAGGAACACGGATTCGACTGTGAAAATGGCAAGATACATTCCCGTAAGTGCCAGTGTGATCAGAGTTACAATCCTCTGAGGAGCAGATCACGGATTCAAATTGTCAGATTCCAAAAAAAAAAAACAAGAAAAAAAAACGGAAACATGGATTCGGCCTTGGAAACGGCTGGATACATCAGGGCTACAATCATCTGAGGAAACACAGCTAGAGCAGATCGCGGATTCCGCCCTGCCTCGTTGGCAGGGGACATATAACAAACCAAAGAGAAATAAAAAAAAGAAAACAAGTTTCGAAATGTGATCGTTTTTGTTGTAAGATGCATTCAAAACTGTGAGCACGACCTCCTAGACTACCCTGTCCGACATCATTGCAGTACAAAGGCCTTTTATTTTTTCCTTTCCTTACATGCACGGGCAAAAGAAAACTACGATTTTTGGGATATTGCCGACCCTGTGTCCGACCCCCGAAAACTTCGGGTACTGGCCAGGACATCGTAATTTCCCAACACTGGCGAAGGTACTGGTGGGTTTAAGACCCAGTTATATCCCCATAGTAAAGAAAAGGGGATAACCTATGAAAAATTCAGCACGATAGCTATAGAGGTAGTATAGACCATGCCGGGTTCTCACAAGAGGCAAATTATTGCCACTATTAAAAGGATTTGCAGACCGGTAAAAGAAGGAAGAATAGAACCCTATCTGGTAGTATCCAGGGAAAGGACAGTCTCTTAGTCACCTTCGAAGGAAGTGTGGAGTCATTATCATATGACCAGATAGACTATGATCTAGATGAGGATAACAACCAAGTAGCCCGAGGAGGGGACTATGCGGTAGTTGCAGCCCATGGTGAAGGACGACAAGGTAGAGGCCGAGGTAGAGGAAGCCGAGGACGAGGTGGAGGTTCTCCCTTCACTGGGGGAAGAGGAAGAGGTACGAACTGGCGGTCGTACCCAACACACCCGGGGATAGCTGCAGGCAAACCTTGGGAAGAGATCGGTATAGACGAGGATGTATGCGAAAACCGTCGTAAGGCCCACCAATATTTAAAAGTGGTGACCCCGACCACATAGATCCCTTCTGCCCATAATACAGATACCCAAAACAGAGCAGCCACTAGGGGTTGCAGTTACCTCTATGAGGACTTCGGACTCAGATAGGAAGATAGAAGCGTGCGCTGAAAAGGCACCCTCGTATCCGAAGATCCCAATACCAGAGATTGATGTAGGCCCCCACCTAGCTAGTTGTCCAGAGCTTGCTTGTGTTAGGACCTCTCTAGGTGGCTCCCTCGCACGCATTGGTGATGAGATGATCACTCGTCACCACACTTGGCTGAAATGAGCAAGAAGTCGAAGGGGCAACTAATAATAGCAGATATAGAAGTACGTAGAGAAAGGATAGGCGCGTTGGTATAAGTTGATCGACGCACAGTTATATAAGTCGTAGAGGGTTGCAGAAGATGCCCCTAGAAATAAAGGTGAAGAAGCTCGATGAGCCGATCATTAACAAGTTGACCAAAACAAAGAGATGGTAGTATGTGAGTATGTTAAAGGGATCAAGGCATACTTCCAATTGGAGGCAGGGGGTAAGGTGAAAAAAGGTTTGCACTCCCTGACACTTTTAGTGAAGGATAACCTTCCTTCTGACATGGTTTTAGGAACTGATTGGGGCAACGCCGCGTATGTTGATATTAAAATGGGCAACCGCGAGTGTCGACAACCCAGTCCCACAAGTGGGAAGAAAAAGTTACGTTTGTTCCATGCATCCTGCGTAGAGCATAGGTTGTCCCTTTGTTGTACGAGTGCCCCCTGTTCACCATATGTG